AATCACTTCTGGGAGCTGGGAGATGGCTGGGGACAGCAGGATAGAAGAGCAGAGAAACCCAGCATTTGCTTCCCTTGGGACTTGAATGAATGGAGACTGGAGTATGTTCTCTCTGCTGGGAATAGGACCAGGAGATATTTCTAAATGTTTCCAAGGGAGGCACAGTCTTCGCTGACTAGCAGTAGGATGTCAGCCCCTGGAGCCCCTGACTCTGGACACCCACAGCCCCATGAGTGTGTGGCGCCAGATGAGGAGGTGAAGCAGGGGTACAGCCAGGTGTTACCAGGGCGCTAGGATGCAGTTAAACACAGAGGACCTGGCTTATCCCACAGCACACCCTGAACACGTTAGAATAAATTCTCGGGGAAGGGTGTATTGTTTCCCGTGGAGAACTTTACAAATAAGCTTTCTGATGTGTGCTTCTGGCCCCCCAAAAAAAGAGTATTCAGGCAGAATCAGATATCCTACCAAACCATCTTTTTAAGCTGAAAATTATGTGGTTGTATTGTGCCATTAAAGGCAATTTAAAAGAAAATGGGTATTTAATTTAAAGATCATTTCTGGCAGGGCTGAGCTCCGGCTCCACCAGCATTTGAAGCTCTTATATAAACCAGGAAAATCAGAACCGTGGCCATCTCGTCTATTAATGGTCCAGGCACTTGTGCCTTTTCTCTCATACTCTTGGATATTTGCCATTTCCTTTATTTGGACCAAAAGAAGAAAAAGCTCCGTCGCAGAAATAGAGCATGCCACACTTGAATTCAGTGGAGCTTTTTGGGAAGAAAAAAAAAAAAGGAGAGCCTTCCGAGGCAAAATGATAAACGGCTAACAAGAAACAGGGGTGCCTAGGGGCTGGCGAGGAGGGGCTGACCGCACGCTGGAGAATTCAGGATTCCAAGATAGGTAGCTGCTGCCTATACCCTTGAAGAAGGAGCTATTGATTCAGTTTTAAGGAAAACAGGTTGATTCCTGGGCCCTGGTGGAGGTGGGGCAGCGGCTTCTCTGAGCCTGCCACGCCAGGCGACCTTCGCACGGGCCGCAGCAAGAACAATGGAGAGGCAACACTCCTAAATTAGTCGCTGGGGCTATTTGATTTGTTTCTGTGCCAGATGTTTCCTCGTTGATCCCTGCCTGGCCCATATGTCCTCCGTGAACAAGAGAGCAAGCAGAGCCAGCGGCCACCACTTCAGAAGCAGCCGCCAGAGCAGGCTAATGGAGCCCTTGGCAGGAGGTTACCGCCTGACTGGCTCTCCCCCATTTCTCTTGGAGATCAAGGGCGTTATGCAGACAGCACACCTGCCCACTCCCGCGGCTGGGTTCAGGGCGGCCAGGCAGCCTTGATTCCCACTGAGCTCCGGTGAGCACCCCAGAGCCCCTCAGCTGTGTCCCCTCCCCTCCCCTCGTTTCATCTCCTTCAGGAGAAGCCCCCGTGGAATTCAGTAAAGAACCATTGCCACGTTCAAAGTGGGGCCCGATCTGGCCAAGCAGGTTTTCTGTTCCCACTAGCAATACCCATCTGCTGTCCCCTGTGCTGAGGATGTTGGGGGGACAAGGGGGATCTCTGCCACCTTCTAAACAAAGGGTGGAGAGGGATTGCCATTTTATTTTCCATTTTTTTCCATCAAAGTATATACACATGGCCAACAGGCACATGAAAAAATGCTCAGAGTGTTGCTAATTATCAGAGAAATGCAAATCAAAACTACAGTGAGGTATCACCTCACACCAGTCAGAATGGCCATAATGAAAAAGTCTGCACATGACAAATGCTGGAGAGGCTGTGGAGAAAAGGGAGCCCTCCTACACTGTTGGGAATGTAGTTTGGTGCAGCCACTGTGGAAAACAGTATGGAGATTCCTCTAAAAACTAGAAACACTCTTATCATATGACCCAGCAATCCCACTCCTGGGCACATATCCAGAGAGAACTCTAATTTGAAAAGATACATGCACCCCAGTGTTCATCGCGGCACTATTTACAACAGCCAGGACAGGGATTATCATTTTGAACTGGCAGGTGGAGGCAAGAGACTTGGGGGCTCGTTCATTTGGGGAGTTGGCTCGGTTTGTCCTTTGTATCCACAAGAACTTCACTGTGGTTGTAAAAGGCAAAAACACCTTCCCCAGTGTCTCACAAGGCCTTTAAGGGACATCTCTTCCATCTGCCCACTTTGCCCCCTTCTTTTGGAGTATCTGCCTCCCCCTCTTCTTGGGCACCTTTCTCATGCTGGCCAGTCAAAGAATTTCTCTGCAGTTTTCAAATCAGAACTGGGCCAAGAGTCAGTCCCGCTCCAGGAGTGGGAGCTGTGGGATGTGAGTCCCGCTGCAGACACCCCAGCAGTGGGCCAGCCCATTCCCGGCCAGCGGCCCCTGAGGCCTCTGCCTTTCCCGTTCAGCTATCTGATCCTTCTTCAGTTACAGAGGATATCCCCATATCCTACCCGTAAATTACTATTTTTGCCAAAGCCATTTTGGGTTTCTGTCCTTGAATCTAGAAGAGTCCTGAGAAATAAATGGATCACATCAGATGGAAACAGGACAGTACCCTGAATCACCATGTTTTTGAGAGCCAACTCTCTGATTAACCGATCTGCCAAAAATCAATTCCTCACGTAATCTATTTGCTGGGAGACCTAGTCACAAAGCTGAGGATTTCCCCAGGCTTTGGCTTAGCCATGGCTTCTCCTGAGGCTGTTACTTTAATTTCTAGCTATAGAGTCACTCAGACTCTTCTAAGTTGAATGTCAATTTCCTATGGATTTTACATCTTAAATGGCCAGGATGTTTTGAAAGGTAGAACCTTTATACGCAAATGGATGACCTTCCCTTAAATATAGTGGCCACCTTTCTAGTTTGAGACCTTATACCTCTATGTCTGCTCATTGTCTACTGCTCCTGCCTTGTGCCCCATCTTTACCCATGCCCACGAAATGTCTGCGACGAAATGTTAGAGATCCAGCTAAAGAATGTATCTGAACAATTTTAGTAATATGACCATCCAGAGTTGTGAATAATTTACTTTCAATAATTTACTTTCAACCCGACCAAGATCCCAGTCCAATGCCTCACCACCAAGGATAGGCTGGAAAAAATGAATCCAACATTTAGCTTTCATCTGCTCCTTTACCCTTCCTGTTCACTAGACCAGTTCATTTACCCTAGAGTAGATCTCCCCAACCTGCAGGACAAAGTCTGAGTCCTACTCTGCAGGGTCTGTACTGTTGCTTTGGGAGGGGCCTTGGCTCCCTCTTAGTCTGGGCCATGTGATTACAATACTCATGCCCTCATTATAGCTGGTACTTCTTCCACAGCACATCAGTCAGCTGCATGAACTTTTAGTTATAGCTATTTGTTTACTATCTGCTTCCCCACTAACCTGTTAAGACCTTGAGTGCAGGGACCAGTTCATTCTGGCATCATCACTATATCCCGGGTGCCTGGCCAATCGACAGCACCGCTTGAGAACCATCCTATCTTCGGCTTCCTAATTCTGCTGCTGCTCCCTTAAACCTTCTGAGTCTTCAGCAGCCTGAGGACCAGACCCCGGTCGTCCATGCCTCCCCCCCAGTGCTGGCTTTTCTGATGGTCCTGTGATTGGAAGAGCCTGGTCTTACCTGCTGGACAAGTCCAGCCCAGCCTTCTGCTTTCAATTGTTTGACCTCAGCAACTGTTTCCTTCACCTTCCAGGTGTCTATCTCAGGGTGAAGTTTTGCCACTTCGGCGTCTACTCAGGAGAGGAGGATGAAACGCCTGACATGCATTATCCGCCATGGCGAGAGAGGACACCCAGTAGGATGCTTCAGGAAGGTCAGAGACTGCTGCGGTTGTAGAACTGGGGTCAGTTTCAGGTTCTGTCGTTTATTTGCTATGTGCCATGTTGTAAAGAAGAGTTAATAGTAACAACCGTTTCACAGTGGCTGCTGTGAAAATACAGGCGCAAACAGAGAGTGCCTGGGCCCGAGCAGAGAGAGGCTCGTTCGTTTCTTCTCCCCCTCTGCCCCTGTTGGGTCGCACTTACTAGCTAGCTACGGGGATCTCACACTTCGAGTCTCCACCTGCGGTCACACCCCCGGCCCCCTAGGACTTCCTACCCTGTTCTTGCTTTAAGGGGAAAAAAAGCCCTAGAAAAAGTGTGAAAGGTTTTAAAATTACTGTTCTGTCCACAATCAGGCCAAAGTCCAGCTGGACACAGAAGTGCTGTGTACAGCTTTCCCCCCGGACCTGGTGAAGCAGGTCCCCTGATTTCCCCACGGACCCAGGGAGCTCTGCCACTGTCACAGCAAGTCCACCCCCAAGCAGAGCCCACCTCCACCAGGCTGCTGCCCACCTGCTTCACCTGACCTCGACCTCTTGAATTGAGGGTGGGCAAACTTAGCAAATAAAAATACAGGGTATCTATTTAAACTGCAGATAAACGACAAATATTTATTTTGTGTATGTCCCAAATATTCATTGTTTACCTGAAATTCACATTTAACCGGGTGCCCTGTGTTTTATCTGGCAATCTGCACCTTTGCTTGCTTCATTCTCTGATATGGCTGCCCACCCTATCCCACCCCTCCTCGCCTTCCTCCACCCATGATCTCACACACACACACACACACTCTTAACCCAAGCAAATGCATGGAGAGAGCTCAATAATGTTATCCTCTCCCCACCCTCACCTGTCTGCTTCAGTCAGGAGTCCCTAACCACAGTCTTGTTCTTACTTGTTTTTCCAACTGCCAGACTCAGTTTTACACGTCTGATCATTTACACTGGACACTACCTGGCCCAGGCCCACAGCAAACCCTGCCCTTGGCTCCATCCCAGCTGTTTCTGTGGCCAAAATGAGCACCGTTTTTGCTTATGCACTAAAATGTCAGCATAACAACAGCCTTGTCCACTTCAAGTTTCTGTTTGCATCTCCCTCCCAAGAAGCGATCGCCCAGCAAGCAAGGGATCACTCAGCGTCTCACGCTGTTGTTCCCCCTCTTTGCTAGGCACCGGCGATGCGTTCCAGAAAGCCTCTTTGGCCCTCACTTCCAGTCCCTGCTGAGCCCTTTGTGCTGCTGCTTCAGGTGTTTTTGTTGTTCTTCTGGCTTGTTTTCCTGAAGCCCGTCTCCAGCGCGCCTCACTGAGGTAAGAATCAGGAGGGGCAGGCTGTATCTGGAATGCTCAAGTCTGAGAGTTGGTAAGTCTTGGAGCTTGGAACTAAGAATGCCAAGGGCTGAGAGTATATCCAGAATTCTTTCATGGACTTTGTGACTTCCAGAGGCCACAGGTTTTCATCTGAGACTAGAGGAGCTACAGTTCAAATTGTCAGAGATTCCCCAGAACGCAAAGCAAGCCCCAAGCCCTATGACCTCATATTCTGAAAGGAAAGGGTGAGAAAAGATCGGAAAATCTGAGCCAGTGCAGCCTGCCAGATGTCACAGAGAAAGAAACACCTGCTCGAGCCACATTAAAGACAAAATAAAGCATTGCTCAAATCGGAGAAAGAAGGAAAATCTTTTGTCTTCACACATGAAACGTTTGGCAACTGCATGAACTTTGCATGATGCTCGTTTTGGGGGTAGGGGCAGGTTACAAATATGAACATCAAAAGATTTTTTTCAGAGAGCCCTAGAGAGAGCAGATGTTAATTAGAATGAAACTGTGCCAAGGCAGGCTGGATCTGACTTTGTCCTGGTGTTGCATTATTAGTTCCTCACATCCACGTAGTCAGCAAGGCAGCCAGTGTCAACAATAATCGATCCAAATAGCTCGGTCTGTAAAGGCCGTGATCAGACTGTGACCCCGGGCCCCTGGCACCAGCACAGTGCAGAGACATGTTAGAGGTGCAGTTTCTGGGGTCCCAGGCCAGGCCTGCAAACTCAGAAGTGTCCGTTACAAGCCCTCCGGGATGGTACTGCAGCCACCGCTCAGATGCCACTTCCGTGGTTCCTGATGGCGATTACCCAGAAGCGCCTCCTCGCCAAGGCTTGTGGACAAGGGAAATGGCCTGTGCTTTTTGTTTGTTTGTTTCAATGTGGCAGGAGTCTGACTTCGTCCCTGCCTTGCTTAGCACCAACATCAAAGTCAACACAATGTCAATTCCAAACACAGAGAGTTATTTTACTTAGTTGCCCACCAGCCACTTCAACAACAAAAGTATTGTTTTCTTAGGAGGAAAGAGGGAGGGAGGGAGGGAAAGAGAGCGGAGCCAAATCCCTGTCAGTCAATATGCAGCAACAGTAAAAGAAAACAGGTCTCCTCGAGGTCGCAATACTGTCTATGTATTTTCCCTGACCCTCAGTACAGATAACGAACCGGTCAGTTTACTTAAGAAAAGCAAAGGGAGACAGTGGAAGGACACCCGTGCCGCTCACAGCTTTATATTATTTGTACTCCCCATGGTGATGGCAGCTGAACTCTAGGCGTCTCTTGGAACTGATGGACATTCAGTGTAAATTTGATAAAGTGCTTATAACTTCTATGCCATCTAATTTTTTCCTACATCTTTCACTATAATATTGCTGGGACACTCTTGATATTAGAAAAAAAAGATTTGAATTATGATTTGTTTTCAAAGATATGGTGTTGATGAATTGAGTCCTAATTGTTCCCAGCTGGGCTGCCCCCACGCACCAGGGGTAGGCTCACTCCTAAAATGATCAGGAAAGCGTTTGGATTTTTTTTCAGTCCGTGGAAATTAAACACTTTGAAATGAGATTTAAGCTGGCATTCTGGACTGTCTAAATGTTTCGGTTCTCATGGTGGAAGACTTACGGCTTTGGTCTCTGCCTCAGAGGTCGGCAGGTGAGAGCGAGGCTGCTGTACTTGGACTGCTCATTGCGCCCGACCCATCTCAGCACATACAACCTCAGTCTCGGTTTTGTTTGCCCTGTTAGAAGGCTCTTAATTAGAAGCCCGTATATTTTTAAACCTCAGATAATGGTATTGGCCTTAAGCACCCATTCTTGGTAGGGGCCAGACAATGAAGGAGTCAAAAGTCATATCATACCCTATAGCCTTCCCAAATATAACTTTGCATTTAAGTATGTTCACAATATCCTAAATTTAAGAAATTAGTTAAAAATAGTAAACACAGAGTGATTGGTTTAGATTTGGGTTTTTGTGAGATAGGTGAGATTTAAGGTTTTCTGCTTTACCACTTTTGTGATCAGAAAAAAAAAAGTAAATTTAACTTAAAATAATAAAACTACTTGGTTTCAGAGTAACTCCCTCCAAATATTTATTAATTTCTGTGGTGGTTTTAGCATATGTCCACAAATTCTCTAATACCCCTTCCCTCCCCCAAGTGTGGGCTGGAGATAACATCTCTCTTCAAAGGAGTGAAGTAGGCAGGGGGAGGAACACTAACTGTACGATGGAGAGACCTGGCAGGTAGCACCGTAACCAAGTCAAGGTGAGCATCCCTAGGGATGTCACGGTGACGCCATGTGACATGAAGCTCACGGCACCTCAGTGGCTTCTTCCTGAAATCCATAACCCCGGTTTAATTATGATAAAACATCAAACACACATTGAGGGACATTCCACAAAACACCTGACCAGCACTCTTCAAAAGTATCAAGGCTGTAAAAAAACAAGGAGAGACTGAGACAAAATCACAGACTGGAAAAGACCAGACACCTGAATGCAGCGCCTCTGAAACTGGATCCTGGAAGAGGAAGGGGACGTTAGTGGAAACTGGTGAAATGTGCATGAAATCTGCACCGATGTGAATTTCTGTGTTTTGAAAAACGGCTGTGTCAGGTGTTAACTTTAGGGGAAAGGTATATGGGAACTCTCTATACCATCTTTGCATCTGTTCGGTAAGTCTCAAATGATTTCCAGATAGAAAGTTAAAACCGTAACAAGACTAGGGGCATTTGTAAAAACACTGAGCCATCCCTTTGCTAACTGTAACTCGTATACCTCGGCAGCTATTATGTGAGGGCAGTGCAGTCATGCCTTACAGACACAAGGGCTCTCCCAACTTCAGGTATCACTTTGACCATCTCCCATGGAACATCGCATCCCAGAGAGACATGAAATCTCCCCCTGCCTGGGGAAGAGAGGAGTTGGAACAGGTATTCTGCTCGAAGCACACACCGTGCCATGCCGGGCTCCATTGTTGAGCCCCTCCTGTCACTGGCCATCCCCCACCCCGACCCCCACGCTGTGGCATTCACTGCCCCTTCCTGTGACTGCCCTAGGGAAGAAAGGGTGCATCTGAATATTCAGCCGTTTTCAGCTTTCAAGCCAGCCTAACCAGCCAGTCTGCTTAATTCTCCATTTGTCATAAACATAAGACAAGGACATTTTAAATCCATTTTTGCTTGGTTTTGTTTTTTCCTCCCAGAATGAAAAAAAGCTCTTTTACCTCTGAGGGTTTATGTTCCATTATTTCATTGGCATTGATTTCTTTGCCACGTAGCCCGGCTTATTTCAAAATCTGTCCTCACTGTACTTTGCCACTGGAGTTCCTTTTCTATCCTAGTTCCCAGGCACAGCTTCTCCTTTTTTGTAAAACAGAGGGTCCTACCGGTACGGCAAGCTTGCTCACAGCCTGTTTCAGGATGACATCTGACCCAGGAGGTTTGCATGTTGGCTCAGCTGTTGCTGGCACTGTCAGCACCCAGGATTCCCCTGCGAGCAGAACCCCTCCTGTCCCCCTGTGGGTTGCCAGGGGCATAACTGAAGGGCTGAGAATGGCAACGGGGGCACCCAGGATCCACAGGGCACCTCATCTTTGGAAACCACTGGCCCTTCATCGTTACGATCATTTGCAGATGTTCACCAAGGAGACTTGTATGAAATGGAGATGATGAAAACATTGAACAGAACAGAGGAGAGACTGTCTCAAACACTTGGCCATGAATTCTTACTAGGTTCCTGAGGCAAGTCAGGAACAGAGGAAAAGAATGAGAAGAGCTCAATCATGTGTTCAGTTCCCCAGTCTCCAGAGATTGGGGAGCCAGTGGGAAGAAACAGGATCTGAGCTTAAAGAACTGAGGCCATGGGAACCCGGTGGAGACTCGTGTGCCCCAAGGATCTCTGACTTTTTCAGTAGAGACGCTAAGACGTGCTCGGAAATGAAACTCTGAGTAATTGTGGGCTGACCTGGGAGATGAGATCCCTGCCGACAGCGTCCACTGAGCCATACACAACTGCAAGTCCCCCAGCTCAGCAAAACGGCACCCACGGTTATCTAAGATGGAAGCTCATTTGCTTCAGAAACAAAAATGAAAGAACAAAACCATGTTTATCTAACTTGTTTACATGCTTAGTTCACAAACAACATTTTAACAACAAAAAAACCACCAGAATTCCACCATTTAGCAAGTCACCTCTCTTTATTCAAGTTCATGTATGATCGCGTTTTACAAAATTAGAATCATAGCATAAATAGACTTAAATCTTGTTTTGCTTTAAATGACAAAGCATTTTCTAAGCTGCTATAAAATACCCATAATTACTGTTTTTAGTAGCTGGGTATTCTATTTTGCTGGTATACTATAATTTATTTAACTAGCCCCTTCTGTTGTCTGAACTCTTTTCCAGTTTTTTGCTATTATAAACCAGAATTTAATGCACACGACTTTTCTCTTCCTCTGGGTAATGTATTTGGGATGACTTCAGAGGTTGAATTTAGAGGCAAGGGATACCTTCTAACCTTCATTTTTATAACTGATTTTCCAGGGGATTATCTATGTTCCTTTGTCTAAATGAGTCAAGAAAAGGAGATACACGTGGAATAGTTACCCAGCCTCATTCCTGTTGAGCACCAGAACCGTGTATCTGTGTCCGCCGGGCATCTCCACTTGGATGTTCTGTAAGCATTTTAAATTCAACACTCCCACACTGCACTTGGCATATGCTTCCCCACTCCCCTCTCCTGCCCGTCCTCGGGGTACCCTGGCTCCGTGAGGAGCATCGCCCCACGGCTTAAGCCAGAAACCCGAGAGTCATCCTTGATTCCTTCTTTCCCTCTCTTCTCCCTCCGCCCAATCAGTCACTAAGTGCTGTGGGTCCTGTTTCCTGGGAATCTCTTGAGCCTCACCACTTTCCCAAATACCCACGTTCTCCCAGTCTGGTCCAAACCCCCATTGTCCCCTACCTGAACCACTGCACAGCCATCCAACTGGACCCCACGCCTCTGGTCTTACACCCCTGGAATCACTCTGGTTGCGCACAGGCAGGTGTTTCTGAAGCATTTCGCGCCTGCGCTTAGAGTGTTTTGTTTCCCCATTTCCCTTTGCACAATTTTAACCTCCTCATGCTGATTACAGGGCTGTGTGGGATCGGACCCTTTCCAGTCCGTCCAGTTTCATTATGAGTCACGCTTGGCCCTGTTCTCTCTGCATCAGCCATTCCTGTCTTACTTCTGTTCCTCAAATGCCCCTCACTCTGTCTTGCCCTGGGGCTTACATAGGTGCGTGTCTCTCTTTACCTCCACTCCCTAAATCCCGCTCACCCTTGGAATCGCATATTTAGTGTCCCTTCCTCAGAAAGGGCCCCGGCGTCAGTCACTGCCCCACCACGGACTGTCACAGTGGAGCGACACGCTCTCACAACACTCCATGCCTCTCCTCCAGTAACACTTACCTCACTCGTTTAGTTATTAAACATCTGTCTTCGCCCCCAGATTTTAGCTCCAAGAAGGCAAGAATGGTTTTTGTCTTGGTCACCACTGTGTCCTCAGTGTCCAGCATGCATTTGAAACACAATAGGAACTCAATATGTATTTGCTCAATGAATGAATAAATGGGGGAATGGCATAACCATACTTTCAGACCCCATTTTAAGATGTTTTCCATCACGTTAAACAGGATATTCCCAGAATCCTACTCCCGGAGATCTCCCTATGATTCACACCTCCACATTTGATGCTCAGTGTGCACTAAACTTCAAGAAGAATATTTTGACAGTTGATTCCCCACCCCCTGCCCAGATGGATAGATAGTTAGCCCAAGAGCAGATCAGTGACTAAAGGTGAGGCTAACCCTACATATTTCCTTCTCTTCCCTACTTCTCAGACTCGTCCTTCGGGAGAGGAGTGATAAAGCAGGTGGATTTAGTTTTTATGTCAGTCATCATCAGCCGAGTGGAGGTTTTCGTGCGAAAGAAAAGGCTAGCATTGAATTGATTGATGGTTCATTTTTCCTATTTGCTCCTTGGTCATTGGAGTGACACTGGGAGGGCTGTCTAGTTAAGAGGTGTGTGAGACATCGGCTCTGACAAAGGCTATTACACACAGAGAATTCATCGCTTGTAATTGATCCTTGGAAATGAGCATATTCACACATAGTCAGCAGTATGCCTGGGTGTTGAGCTGCTAGGAGAAATCTATCCTGCACTTATTCAAGGAATAACATTCACATAGAATCTCACAAGGAGTGTTTGTGTTTCTCTAACAAGTGGGAGATGACAAATTATTCATGTGTGCATTAGTAATTTCACCTTTGAATTGTCTTCATTTCTGGCCACACACCAGGTCCCACACGACACGCACCCGTGTGATTTCCACGCACCGCCGGGGGTGGGGTTGGCTGCAGCACGGGGGTTGCGTCCTCCCAGACTTCAGCCTCACATCCTGTTGCTCTTAACACTTCCCTTATTAAATCAGCCAAGGTTTTTGCCCTAGAAGATGAAGGTCCAGGCGGGAAGAAATAATTCACCAAGTGGATCCAATATTGTCTACCAGGGTTTGCTTCCACCCCGGGACTGGCTCACAGAAAACTCCTCTGCCACCCGCCTACCACCGCAAATGGCTGCACCCCCTCGAACGCTCCAGCACAAGTGGGGACAAAATCTTCTGTCTCTGGCTGTCCTTAGCGCAGCTAAGCCTGGCTGGGCCTGTCAAAAGAACTGAAGTACAAAAGGAGCACAGAGGAGGGATAAACAGAGATAGGAAGAATGATGAAACGGCCTGCTTGGCAAGTGCGGGCTTCTGAGCCGTCGCAGCCACCTTGCTCTGGGGGCTTAAGGGCCCTGCTCCTCCTGTAATTTTCTCCTGACGATGATCTTGTGCTTTAACCTGAGACGGGAGCAGCGCACCTGGCCTCCTGGCTCCTCGGCAGCGGTGTCGCTGGTTACAGACATGCCTCCGTCTGAAGTCTGAGTGAGCTCTCCCTTTGTTCCTCCCCTGCAGACAGTGTCAGAGCTTCTCATCCTTCTCCTTCCAGTAGGAAATGTGACAGTGCGAATAAGAGCATTCATGTGTTGGATTCTGTTTCTGTGCCTAAGGTAAGAGCTGTTTCTTAGAGTGGGGGGGGGGCGGAGACACAATAAGGGAGAGGTTGATTGGTTTGTGATTCAGAGGAAAGAGCAAGTTTACAAAACATGTAATGTGATCCCCTGGGGGTCACTGGTAACCAGGTCTCTTGTTTCTCTCTGCCTTCCTATCTTTGGAACTGCTAATAGGAATGGAGACAGATGCCAGATGTGGCAGTTAGCTCATGCCATACCTACTGGCTTGCTGGCTGGAAACACTAGTCCAGCACTGCCCCACAGAAGTGCCTACAGTGATGGAAATAGCCTCCAGCGTGCTGCCCAGGGTGGTAGCCACTAGGCACACGTGGCTGCTGAGCACTTGAAATGTGGCTAGTCACAAGTGACACATGGGACTGGGAAAGTGAATTCTAAATTTTATTTAATTTTAAAGTTAAGTAGGCACACATGGCCCGCTGGTAGCTAACGCTTTAGACGGTGCAGCTCAAGAGACCAAGTATGGCAGGGACCCAAGTAGCTCCAGTATCTCTGCCACAGAGGCGAAGTCCCACGGCCACCGACCTGCTTGTTGAGCCATCTGGCCCGACAGAAGAGGCCCTTCCGGACCCCCTGTTTATAGCTGAGACCCGCACCCAGCCTTGGTGACGTGCTCACATAGCACTCCGCAGCTTCTCCTTGGGGGCAGTTTTCACAGCTGTAATTTAGAAACCGTTTGTGTGGTTCATTCATGAGTTATTTTGCTTAATCAACAGGTGTTTTTCGAGCATCTGCTCTGAGTGTCCCAGGCACCATTTCAGGCACTGAGGGTGCAAAGCGAACAAAGCAGGCAGAGTCCCTGGTCTCAGGGTCCTGCTGTGCTGGTGGCAGAGCCAGACCATAAATAAGTAAAGAAACAGATATAATGTCATGGGGAGTGGTGCCAGCTCAGTAACAAACACTAAAGCGATGTGAGGGTGTGGGGAGTAACAGGGAAGCTATTTCAGGCAGGCGAGTCCGGGAAGGCGTCTATGGGAAGGTGGCGCTGGAGCAGAGACATTTATAAAAGCTTCATGTAAGCAAATGCAGCGTGCGTGTAATAAGGAAAGCACACATGCCATTTAGAGCAAGGTCCGTGCTGACGCAGTCAGTCAAGGCAGCCACACACCCGAGCAATCCCATTACGAGGGGCCACCAGCTCCAAAGCCTGGAGCTGCTCCTGCCCCAGCTCCGCTTCCATCCTGACACTGCCCACTGCTGTCTACTTACCAAACGGTCGGTCCCAAGCGCCAGGCCCAAGGACTCCTGTTGTTTACAAGATGTATGGTCTCCTGCCATTTGGGCCGTGCCTCCCTTTCTCTCCTCATATCTGGCTATCTGCCTGCTCTGACACAACTGAGTGACCATCCAGCGCTTTAAGGGCCCCAAAGGGAGGCTCGTCTTGTATGTCACCTCTGTTCCTGGAATCTGCTCTGTCATCATGGTGGAGGCCAAGAGCTAGACCCCATGTGCAGGAAGTAGACTGTATGGAAAGGGTGGAGGATGCTGAGCATGGAGGATGTTGAGGGTGGAGGCTGTTGAGGATAGGGGACGCTGAGGATGGAGTGTGGAGCATCCTTCACTCTGCGCACAGCCCCCATGACCTCAGCTCTTACCACGTTACCTCTTGTGGGTGCTGAAGTGGGTGAAGGCAGAGTGTGGTGGGAGACTGTGTGGTCAGGTCACCCGAGGTCCCCGCACATCCCCAGTGCCTGCTTCAGCTGTACCCAACTCCTGTGACTGACCTTCCTGCATACTTGCCCCAGGCCCCACCAACTGACTGTTGTTACTGAAGGGGCGGTGAGGGGCGTGCCCCTCCGGTGGTTTTCATGGTAACAAATGGCCAACTTGGTGTCAATTCCCCCATAACTGCTAACCTCCCTCTGTCCCCAGGAGCGAAGACTGCTGCCCTGTCTCGCCCGCTGTCTGCCGCACACGGTGGGGAGTCGCCGCAGGACCTCGCTTCAGACGTGTAAGCTCCCCCATCCATTAAACCAGTGATGTCTCGGCTGCTGACTCTGGGCTCTTTCTTCGGTCTTAAAGCTGGGCAAGTACAGGCCTCCTCTGTGGGTGGCACAGCCCCCAGCTTCTGTCAAGCCAGACCTGGATCCTCCCTCTGCCCCCCGACTCTCAGAGCTCCGCCGAGTCCCTGACTTCAAGCCATGCACAGTCAAAGCCCCACATGGTGAAGCTTCTCCCTCGTGAAGGAGAGGGTCCAAGGAGGAGCTGTGAGGGGCGCATCAAGGTCAGGGGCCTTGCCTCTCCTCGTATTAAAGAGAAGGAACTGTAGGCAGAGAAGGGAAGCCAGCCTTGACCCCCCAAGTGGAAATCAGGGCAGAAGTCTTTTGCAACAGAATCCCCATGGGAAACATGACAAAATTAGTAACAGGAATGAGGCCTCCCTCAGAGGATGCAAGAATCACTGCATTGAAAATAACCACAAGGTCATCTAGTCCAGCTGCCACCAATGGCCTGAATTTTTCCGACAAATCTGTGGACAAGCAGTCACCCAGCCTCACACAGCAGCTCAGTGCTCTGCATGGCAGCTCCTTCTGACGGTGGGCAAGGGTTTAAAAGCCCCCTGGGCGTCTAGTGCTTCCAGGTTCGCAGTGGGCAGAAGGCGGCACACGGGGGCAGGGGTCCAGCCCACTCCTCCATCCGGCCGGTGTGTTCATTCTCCCTTGATTTACAGCAAAGGCTCTTGGTGAGATCAAGACTGCTTTACTTTAGGCTGCTTAGATGGCTGCCTTAGTGAGCCAGCCTTAAAACATTCCCCAGGGGAGGTCAGTTTTTTGTTGTCATTGGTTTTTATTCCTGTGAAAGCTCTGGGAATCACGATTTTAGAACCAGGAGGAACTTAGTCATCTAGTCCAACCTCCTCACGTGACTTATGACAAATGAAGGGAGCCTCAAGCCTCGGGGCAGAATTCAGACAACATTTCCCACTGTTTCCACCCAGTGTACCCTCGGAGGCTGAGTCCCCGTGGCTCTGGGACCCTCATGGAGGTGCTCAGTGGCCTCCCTTCAGTCTCACGTTACCTGATCCACTGCAGCACTGGCCCTGTTGACTCTTCCCTTGTTCTCAAAACTCTCCTCCCTTGGTCCCTGCAACACCATTCTCAGTCTCCTCTCACCTTCTTTTCAGTCTTCGTGGCTGGACATTTTTCAACCTGCCCCATAAAGGCAGGTATTCCTGACAGCATGCCCTGGTCCCATCTCTCTGCTTACTCTACACATTCTTTTTCTTGGTTACAATCACCGCCTACAGATGGATAATTTGTAAATATCTATCTTCAATACACAGCTGTCTCCCCAGCTAGTAGGTTGTCCTTCAGAGCCATAGATCCAACTGTTTACTGATCGTCTCCTTCTCAGTGTCTCATGAGCTCAATATGTTAAAAGATGGAATTCATTACCCCCACCCACAGCCCTGTCCCACTATGTTCCCTGTCACCCAGACACCTGCCTCTAACCATCATAACATACAAACCCAGCAGTTATCCTAGACTTTTCTGTTTCCCTCAGTTCTTACTTCCAGTTTGTGCCCATCAAGGGAAAAATGATGGAAGGAAGACAGCAAACGATTGCAACAAGTCTGAGGAAAGTTACCCTGTCCCCCAACCTTCAGGGATATCAGGAATGAGACAAAGAACAGACTCTTCTGATAAGATCAGCAGACAGACCTGTGCCCCGTGGTGGGACAGCCATGGCTTCAGTCCCTGGGGTGTTCTTCCAGCCCCCGGTCCGTCCACCTTCTTCTGTTATTGCCTCCTCCCAGTCCAGCTCAGATTCAGCGGGCCACATTTTCAGCTCCTCTCTTCCCAATACCTGCAACTTGCTTACCCAGTCATCACAACGTCTGGAAAACCCCACCTATCTGTCTTCTCCACACCTGCATCTGGCCCACCAATCACTGATGGAGGAGATTTTCCAACCAAGCATGTCAGCGCCGCTCTAAACGCAGGGTCACCAGACTCAGCCTTGTCCTCAACACTGCCCATTGACGTTGCTCTGTTTCCATAGCCTTCTCACTCTTCTTTCCTCCGCAGTAATCGCTGCAAAACTTCTCCCTGCCCCAGCCTTATGACTCTTAACCCTGCCCACACTCCCGCTTCCACTTGCCACTTCACAAGGAAAGCAGAGGCCGTCAGGGAACACTGTCAGATGGCTGCCACAAATCTGCAGGCACTCATCCTTTCTTTCTCTCATCCTGTCCAATAGAAGAGGGGTCCTTTTTCCAACCTAAGACCGATCATCACTCACTCATTCACTCAACAGTTAGTTGCTGAGTATCTACTATGTGCCAAGGTCACAAATGCAGCCACCACCTGGGGACTGACAGTTCCAACCCTCTAATCACATGGTTGCTCCCCTGGCAACCAACCCCATCCTTAGGTGCTTCCCAAAATTCACCTCCCTGACATAGACCGAGTTATGGTGGGAAGAGGCTTGTGATGAATAATATGACACCCATTTAACCTGTATGTCTCTGAAGAGATTTCAGGAACCAGGGACAGACGTTGCTCCCGTTGCTCTTCTTGCTCAAGAAATTCCAGAGGTTTTGGGAGCTGTGAGCCAGAAACCGTGGACAAAGACCAAAATATATATGAGGAATGCATTTTGCAATATGTATGAGAGAGATGTTTCGGTCACCTGAGTGACCAAATAAATATTCTTATGGATCCTAATATCTCAGGCTGCAAACGTTCATGCAGTCACTGCTTGACCCCTGCCTCCTCCACACATATTTCAGCCGCTTAAGTCTTACTCGCCTTAAAAATAACGTGCTCCTCTGGGCAGCTTTTCCTCACTGTTTGTGCCCGCTTCTCCCTTTCACAGTTGAATTTCTTGGAAAGTATCTCCCCTCTGCTTCCATTTCCGCACCTTCCCTTCATCTCTCATCGGTTTTATGTATCCTGTGCCGCCGTGCTTCCCTGAAACTGCCCTCGCCAGTGGCCTCCATGTTCCCAGTTCCAGCGTTCACTCTTAGTTCTGTCTTGCT